TTACTTTGGTCCCAGAAGGCGATTCAAAGCGAGACACACACAGAGCTGGGCCAAGAAGTGCCAACTGCAGATAGGACCACCAACCATGGATGACTTGAAATCGTAAGAATGTTTGAGCCCTATCATCAGCCACTAAATTAAGAACACCTGAGCATATGAATGCCGTCTAGCCTTCTCTCACTTATTAAAAACCACCACAAGTCGTTGGGACATTGGAGGTTTTGGTGATGAAGTGCTTCTTCTACAGTCAATCGATCCGTGTCCGCCATTTATGTCGCGCCACCTCATGATCACCAGCCAAGTCACACCAGCTAGCTAGTTAGCCAAGTCGCCACTCGCTTCAAATGGTCGTTGCATAAGTTGCATGACATGCATTACCATTGCTGAAAAGCTATGGACATTTGAAAGTGTTTGGATCTTTAGCCTTTAATGAGAAAAGGGAGATCCCGAAATCGCTCCTGTGCAGCGCATCCTCATTAAGGTCGAGCTCCGAAGATATAATTCCTCGTGAACCTCTGTATAGTTTCAACGCCAATGGCCTCCGTTTCGGTGGTTGATAGATTCATTCAAGTGCACAAAAGTTTTTTTTTTCTTTAATATAAAGCTAGCTATTGCCACGCAAGTGGAATTGAGTTATGTTTGCGCTCTTTTCCTTATCGCGTTATTTGTGAACCAAACGCGTGTCTTCTAAAGTCGCGATACCCTTTTGTTATCCAAGCAGACATATTGCTCTAGGGAATCATAAATCACGATTTCCAAAATAGAAAAGCAGCCTCATTTAACCATACATGGAGAAGTCCAAGTAGCACTTATCAGTCAGATGGAAAAGCAACGTATGGTAAACGCGATAGCCCCCCCATTACCTAAGTTTAGAATTTCATTCAACCATATCGTTACGTGGGGGTCAATTAGAAAATGACAGACGTCGATTTCACTTCCTTCTGTTCCACCCTCTACCATGGATGCGTGCACATCTTCTTGTTGTTACAATTATTTCTGTTTTTTTTTAATCTGGTCAAGAGTCCAACGTAGACTCAGCTAGCATGGCAAGCGGACATGAAGGAAAAAGAGATTCTTGTGGATAAGATATGAATACGTGACGATGTTTGAATCACTGATGATTGGTAAGACATTGGACTTGAGATCTGAGATGCTGTCTGATTGATGACAGTTCACGGGCCATATATACGTGCATTCATCTGGAAGGTGTTTGATGAACTCCTGCCTTCTTTGATTTTGAGTTCTTTCCTGCTTCCGTAGAGAAATTAAAAAAGGTACAGAAAAGAACAGTCAAAACAATGGGATAAGTGAAAGGTAGAAGGTGAATTTGGCTTCAAAGAAGGGATATGGTCGAATAATCCTCTCGATAATAATACATGTTAGGACTAGAAATACGTCCACAGTAACGTTCTTCTAGTATAAACACACAATTGTATTCGTTCTAGCATTATATCAGATAACAAAACCGATTTTCTTCCCCTCCGTTTTGACCTTATTTAGTGTTTTCCCTTTTCACGGATTCATTCCATCGCATGCACATACAGATAACTGGAAATAAAGAGTGCTTTCACTAGAAAGACGTTCCAAAACAAGAAAATGGAAATTCAGCAAATGATGGTCGAGAGATCGAGAGAGAGACCATGACTTTTCCATATGCAAAACGTGGCCAATCCTTGTCCAAGAGGGACAACCATACACACTCACATATTCACCAAGTCCAACTAATGCATGACTTGTTAGGCAGACCACTCATAATTGATGGCAACAATGGCGTCCCCCCACGACTTCTGTGTACTTTTTCTACCAAGCCTTTTTCATTCAAGACCACAACGTGAGTGTTCTGGAGACAGCACTGTTCAAGAACACGGGCAGGCCAATCAATTGGTGACCAACCCCACACTCCAATAGGACTTTTCTCAAATTGGGACGAGTATGAAGACATTTTCCATCCGAGAAATGCCCGTACCAACACCGATTTACAAACCCAAAATATTATCGGATGTTTAATGTGACCTTCGTGCCGAAATGCCCGTTCACAATCCGACACGTCATTTTCATTTATCGAATTTATAAACCAAATCTTGATATACTTAGTAGCACTGTTGTTTCTGTTTAGCTATGTGGCTTTTTACTGTTTAGTGACTTTCCTCTTGAGAGCAAACCTACTTTCTGGTCATGAGGGTCAAAAAGAGGGTAGTGGATTGGGAACAAACTAGTGATAAAATGATATGATTGCATGGATTGGAGTATGGATGGGATTCTGTGCCACTATCTATTCATTGTGGCGAAAGGATGGGATTGTGACCTTTGAATGAAAAAGAATATGTTACTGAAATGGATAACTGCCACTGACACATACATCTATTTAGTATGTTGATAGACAAGCCCCTCTTTAATGGGAAAATAAACAAAATGTTTAAAATTTTTCTTGCTTAAGAGCTCTTGAATAAATTATAGAGTTGTTATATGGCATTATCATTTTAAGACTTTATTATATGCCCAAGGAATTTCGCCAGTAGCCATTAGCAACCTTGGACAATGTATTCTCTTCTCAAACTCCGATTTCATCCTTCCTAGCTATTTTTCTAACGAGTCGCTCTTGAAGTCAAATATTATTATGTGTGAAAAGTTTGTGACGGGCTTAATAACCCTAAAAAGCTTAATGTGGAGTCACCACCATCTGATATGGACTCCCACTATATGCCTCACGTGATCATTTTGCGAACCCTACTGTCTCTATTCTGCTAGGGAATAATACCTCCTCCTGGTGAAAAGCCACTTGATTGATTATGTGTTCTTTGAAAAAGGAGGATTTTGGAAAGGCATGTGATGCTTATATGCTGCTGAACAAAATTCTCTGTCCTTGTGGCGGTACTTTGTAATGGGGAACCAAAGTAAGCATGTGATACTTGACAATAACTCACCCACTCATCGGACTCATTGTAATTCAGAACCTGGGTTTTGCTTATAATATAGTTCAAAACTATAATTCAATATTATAATTTGATGTTTGTTATTATAATATGCAGTGGAGTGTGGCCTGTTGATGTGAACACAGGGTGCTTGGTGCCCCAGAAAGTATGGACAGTCGCCTTTAGTTTAATTCCCAGGATACATCATGTCCTGAAACATGTCAAGATCACGAACCCATGTGTTTCTTTCAGCAGGTTTGCCATTTCAATATATATATATATACACACACACACAACTGCACATGAAAAGCTTCTGTCAGGATCTTGAAAACGAAGAATCGATCAGCTTGGAACTAAAACCCAAACGCTCAATCACGCCCTTTTCACCCCCGCGTACGGAAAGATGGAGACATTGAGCGCACGAGCACGATTTCTTTTTACTTGTTTTTTTTTTTTAAGGAAAAGAATAATTTATTGGAAGAAAAGGAAGCAAAGTGACTAAATTGACTGCCCGAGGTCAATTACACATTCTATTCCAACTTTTTATATATTTAAATCTTCATTTCGATGGTTCTTTAGTATTAACATGGTGTTTCAACAGGAAATGGCACAGAGGATCAAATTCTAACGTACTAAATTTACATGACACGTAAATATTCGTTCTTGGCCCCATCATTGGCGTAGGGCTTATGTGAACATGCTTAGTGGGGAGGCAGTGTGGACTGCTGCAAACCCTAGCGTGGCTGTGAATTGAGAGCGATTGCCAAGTCCAAGACGCAGCCGGCCAAGGAAGTCCCCACCCGCGGAAATTTGAAGGCACAAAACACCAGAAGGAATTTGGTTGCTTTGGACACCTCTGCCGACACTTCTGTTGGGTGTGATAATTCATGCTGTTGGAACACTTGTGCTGGCGAAATTAATTGAAGATTGCTCGGCTTGTCGCGTCGCCGGCTGTCTTATTGGTCACGGTTCCATATCTCATCGAGCAATTTGAACGTCGGAGCTCATGCCACGCATCCTAAATGTATATCGAGACTGATAGATGAATGGCGTGGCTGAATCTTCTTCTTCACCCGTTTAGTGTTTCCTGCTCGTGCCCGAGACGGGACATCGACCTTGCTTTCTGGGGGCCGTAAACAATTTACCGAAAAGGAAATTGTATTTGAGATAATTTCGGATGGGTTATGTCTCGTGCATATTGGATTATGGAGGGGGGAAAATAGACGGAGTGGAGGACCTTAGTCTCGTCCCAAACTCGCACAACATTTCCCAGCATTTGAGGGAGACTTTCAAATTCCGCCCAGCGAGTCCACAGTACAAGCCCTTTGGGATGGCCCAGATCTGTGTGGGATCAGCCCATGAAGGGCCATGGGCTGATTTCTACTCAAATCAAGGTGTGTGGCCCATTTTCTATTAAGGCCTATTACGCCGGTTTTGATGTAAAATACAACCTCAATGCCAGATGTATTGGGACGTATTTAGGAAGTTCTACTTAGTGAATGACCCTCTTATTGGGTGTTTTGATATGACCTGCTTTCTTAGGAGCAAAAGCGTAAGGATTTTGAGATTTCCGGGAAATTGTCCAATCAGTTTTTAAATTTATCGTAGAATGTTAATTCAGTCTTAGATTGCTTACTAATTTTTTTTTAACCGAATGCCATGGCAAAATTTTATCAGATGTAGATTTATATCCAAGGTGATGCTTATTTAAATACAGCCAATCCAACAGTGACATATTTTCCATCATTAATATCGTTTATGAAAAAGAGTTAAGAGAAAAACAATTCCCTTATTGCTAAAAACATTTAAATATAGGAATCTTAAGAACTTTGATAAACCCGCACAGCCTCCCACCGAGCTCTGTCTCGTTGCCACCAACGAGCCTCGGCGTGGTGACGAGCTTGACTCAATCTCGCAATGATGTTCCTGAGTAAGTTTTCGCAACGATACCCCTGCTATGCTAGTTGAAATGCACTCAATTCCTCTCAGCTATGCTAGTTGAAATGGACTCAATTCCTCTCTCTCTCTCTCTCTCTCTCTCTCTCTCTCAAGATATCAAAAGTAAAAGTACAGGCTGGCCACTCACTCTTGAACTCTACATTGTTTCTTTAATTCTAAGAATATAAGTTCCTTTTCACAAATACAATAAGCTATAATTACATCCCCCCCTTGTGGTTTCTAAGTGTGTCACGAGGCTACAAAACTTAGAAGACTTAGATCCATTAGGATCCTAGAGTTACTATACTATTAAAAAAAGCTAAAAAGAATATGTCACAAAACGAGCACAATAGGCTCCAAAGATGTAGCCCTAACTAGTTTACAAAGTGACTAAATACGTATTGGTCAACGAGCTCACCAGCCATAGATGGGATTCTCCACCTGCGGGGGCAAGAGATTCAGGTCTTTACTGTGCTGCTTGCCATAGTCTCTCGTTCCGGGTACGGCTCCAGTGCATAGTCTCAAGAACTCGTTACCAGTGAGGCAGTAGTGGGCAAAAGCCAACCCTCCATCATACAGTTCCGTCAAGCTAGGCATTGAAACTGATTTGGCCAGGGCTTTTCCATTTATCTTGACTGTACCGCCGTTGCCTCTATCTTCGTTCAAGAGTCTCTCAAGATCGGAATACTCTAAGAATCTCTGTGTGGCAGCTTCCCACGAAAGTTTATATCTTTGCTCGGGAGTCAGCGGCTGAGGCTCATTTGCTAGGGCCTCTCTCATTTTGGCGACAAAGTCCTCAGATGTTCTGTATGTTAAACAGTTGGGAAACGATCTGAAAAATTCATTGGATGGGTGGTCAGCACAAACCACAAATTTCCCCATCGCAAGTGCCTCAGCAGTAGCCGTGCATAGCACATCGCTAACACTGGGATTAATGAAGACTTTGTACCTTCAAGAAGAAGAGCAGATATTATCAGTAAGTGCAGCTATTTTCGTGTCTTGCTATCTCCATGAGCATGCACACTAGTATAGAATGTGAGAGGACATTTTCCTACATGATCGCAGAATCATAATCGGATTAAATCCAAACCATTGTGTCTCATCAGCTCAAGAAATAGAACATAAGAAGAATATTCCCCGGGGGAAAAATATGAGCTATATTCTACAGGAATTCATAATCATTTGTCCTTTTAAACCCCATTTTGACAGAAATCACTGCTTGTGAGAAATTCCTGGAAAACATCTCCATTGACACGTTAATTGAACCAAAACTGATTCTCTCTGATAGAAATTTTGTATGCTTACCCATGAAGGGAATCGTCTGCATGATCCCTTCCTTTGAGAAAGTTGAGATTTAAGTTCAGTCTCGTAGCTGCACTCTGAACTTCTTGTGCATCCTCACCATTTCCAAACACGTCCAATTTAAAACCGTCGAGATCACTCTTATGGTTTGCTAACAAATCTATCAACTCCCTGTATCCCTTTGCCCACACCATCTTCCCCAGGAAATATGCTCCTTTGGAGAATGCTTGCTGCCCGAGTTCCCTTTCTGCAGCAACCTTGTCTCCAATTTTCAAGAACTTAGGACTCACCCCGTGGACATTGCACACTATTGATTTGGGCAAATCTTGTGTGGCAGCTGAAAGGCGAAGAACCTAGATGTGTATTCAACAATTACATATCAGATGAAAAGATGAAAAAAATCACACAGATAGCACATTCAGTTCCATCTCTAAAGCAAAAACAAACAATTACAGAATGAGGAAGATGCTGACATAAACTCTCACCTTGTTGCAATATGCCCTTGTGACCCAATTGTTTATGTGCTTCACGAAGAAAGCTTGGAGGGCTCCATTTTTCTCTCTCTTGATATACTCTAAGTAATTGGTGTGAACAACACCTACAACATGGTTGAATTTATCAGTCCACCGCTTGCCATGATGGTACCAATTTAAGTGCTCTGGCTCTTCCAGGACAGCGATGTCAGCATCTTTTGATGGGATAAATTGGGAAGTGTCTCCAGCAGGTATTATGCTCCGCCTTTCTTTTTGAAACTGTAGACCAACAAGAACGATATGTCATCTACCAAAATCAAGAATAGAATGTCAACTAGAAGTATGAACTTGCAGCCAGATTGCCAGGAAGCTATTACCTTTCCTGGATAAAATGAAATTCTGAAATCAGCCTTAAAACCAATCCTTTCCTCCAGCCAGTTCCGTATGTAAGTTTCCTGTTCTTCTGGAGAGCTGAAAGTGACATTATTCGGATAAACTAGTTCTTGATCTGATTTACAAAGCCAGGGAACGAGGAGGGTCACATTTTGCTTTGCAGACTTGGCTAAATATGCTGCTCGAAATAATGGGTTTACAGCTGTCCCAGTCATCCAAGGCAGGCTAGCAGTAGTAACAATAGCTACATGCCTCTTCTGATCTGTCATATCATGCTTTGCAGTGTCTGTCCAAAAACCACCCTCATAGCAATGCCCTGTACTCTGAAGGACACTGGCTAGTCTTAAATCCAGCTCGTCGTTCATGTTATCATTTCCAATAATTGAAGATTCCTCGCCAGAAAGGGAATGCATTAAAAGTTGGTTTTTACGTTTGCTGCACAAGCTTTCCACTAATTTGTCACACACATCTGCAGAGAAATATGGGATGATGTCAAAATCCACAAGAATCACGGATTTACCCAGTATGCAATCTTCACCACATTCGATCCACTTGTATCAGTATAACTATTTATAATGACACATGCTTGTGTTCAACCAAACAAGTTTGGCTGAGAATAACAAATACAAAACAACTCCAGCAGAACAGCAGACCTTCAAGCCTTAAAGACTTCACCAATTTTTAGAATTCAGGTCCAACAAAACCATCATGTAAAGCTCGTTAAGAAAAGGTAACAGACATGTTTGTAAGGGAAAAACTATTTTCCCGTCACCCAGAATGCTGAAAACAAATCACAAATTTTTATACATCTAGAAAAGGTCATCGAGTTGTTTAATTTTCTTGTCCACAATAAGAGGGAGTCTGTTTGGTGAAATACAAAAGCATGATAGTAAGCTTCACTGAGTCTATATTCGGGTATAGGGAAACCCAGAGTTATTAAAAACACGTCTATCCTACCTCATTAATATTAACAATACACTCGAGTAACATTAATCAGGATAATCATACATAAAAATAATCATGAACCATGGACAAACATTTTGGAAAAAGTAATATCCATGGACTAGCTAGACTTGTGAACATCAAAAAGATCAATATTTACCTTTTCTTACACCTAGTTGATCCAAAAATGGTTCAGATTGCCTGATCAGACATGCGAGAAGTTCAGGTACATCAAGTGGTGGTATTTTCTGCAAAAAATTGGAAAGAGGCATGTGTTCAGCCGAGACTTGAAACTATCAACCATGAGATCCTTCCTAGAGCTCATGACGTAACTAGAACATAGCACGAAAAAGTGGATACATATCGAGACCGACACATGGATCGATCATGACAAGAATGGAATTATCCGTAATGTAATGTAATAGGGGAGTCACAATCCAGTTCCCCCTCCCTTCTTGCCCAGATGAAGGAGATATGAATTCCATTCGGGCAGGTTAGGGCTCCAACAAGATATATAAAAAAAGGTAAATTCGTTGCAGGGAACTTCTTCGAATTGGCTTGTCCAAGCCGATGAAAGATGCTTACTATTCTTGTGTCTAGGTAACTTATTTCAATAATCTCATATGTTAGTCTCGATGCACAAATTCCTCAAGGCATTGTTTTTGTACGAGCACTAATAGTAAAAGAAAGGAAAACTGCTATTAAATGCGCTTTTGAGGGCATGAAGATTAGGAGAAGTGGCCTCTTCAAAACCCGTTGATCGAGTAGTTTATCCAGTTCCATTTGATCCATCAGCTTAACAAATGTTAAATTACAAAAAGTACTTAGCAATACTTGGTTCGCTTATATCAGAATGTATAGATAAAAAAACTGAACGCTTTGGTCTGAACTACACTTTACAACATTATGATGGAGAATAAGAAAGCAATTTTAATATCCATAGACTAGGACTACTCCACTTTAATTTTGCATTTTCATGCTGGAAAGGTACTTTGTACTTCAAAGAAAAATGCATGTTAAACTGCCACATAAACACATGCAACAACAAACGTGTGAGGTAACTGTTACAATCATTTGCCCAATACTAAAAGCTGCATACTTTGGCAAGCTAATGACAAATGGACTTCATGTGCACAATCAGTGTTGAAAGTACATCATAGGGGAAAATAGTGAACTTCAACAAGATAGAGGCTAACCTTAGAGTCTTCAGGCTCTTTGCAAATTGCTTTCTGCTGAAAACAATAAGAATGAATTAGACATATACGTCTTATCGTAACAAGGACAAATAAGCAACAAAATAGAAAGGAAGAGCCATATTAACTTGCAACTGTTTTATATGTGTTTACTTGAAAATTACAAAGAACTGAATGTTCAATCTCTCTCTCTCTTTCAACCAAAAATAAAAAAATCTCTCTCTCTCTCTCTCTCAGAAAGAGTTTTAGATCCAACCATAAGAAAATGGGATTCTACTCTATGCATCCATAACCTGGAAATCTCATGGATTGGGCGACAATGCAAGAGCAGAATGTTCAATCAACGCTAGGAAAGAGTCAAAGCGATAGAAGGACACAGGCTGACACAATTCATTCGGTGTTGGAATCACAGGATGCAGTGCAACGATCAGAGGACTTAAAAGTAAGGCAATTCGAATTATTCATCTTGCAAGCTCAACACCAAACTCGCACAGAAATTTTAAAGCTAGAAGTTCTCCTGATAATTCATGACTACTGATCAAATCTTTAAGTCCCCCAGTTTACCTCAAACAGCCTTAGCAAACGGAAATCACAGAGTTCACTTCGAGAGGAAATAAAACCAATCGGATAAGATAACCACGAAAGGAAAAGCAAGGCCGAAAGACATACCAAGCTAGACTTCACTTTCTCCACGATCTCCCCGCTCTTCCACCCCTCAAAAATATCCACCGTGCTCGTGCTCGTACTCCTCCGCCTCTCGAACTCCCCGAGCCTCGCCTTCAAAGCCCGAATCGGCTCCCAATAGTCCTTCTCCACCTTCGGCTCCTCCATAAACCGCAGCACCCTCCTCCTCCTCCTCCTCCTCTTCCTCGCCCAATCGAAATCCACGACCCCATCCCCGTCGCCGTCCGCCTCCTCCGAGACAATCGCGTTCCTTATGGCCGACAGATCGATCCGTATGCTCCCCCGGGGCCCCCACTTCTCCAGCACGCGCTTGCTGAAGTCCGGCGCCGAGTAGGCCCGCCGGAACTCCGACAGCTTGGGCTGCAGCCGCTTGACGAAGTCGATCTCGGCGGGCTGCCGGGAGGACCGGATGGCGGAGGGGACGGAGAAGGCGGAGGGGACGGAGCTGATGAGGTTCTCGAGCTCGCGGTCGAAGGAGGTGGCGAGGTTCTTGAAGGAGTTGGCCCGGTTGCGGATCAGCTGGAGATCGGCGTCGGCAGAGACCCGGACCTCCTTCCAGCTCCTGGAGAGGAAGGAGAAGGCGTTCGAGGACGCCGGAGACTGCGTCTCGTTGACCATCGCCGCGGAGTTCCGGCACCCCCTCCCCGATCGGAGCTAGGGTTTCTCGTCGGAGCAGAGAGGATTGCGGTGGGTTTCTCGAGAAGCTTTGTGGGGTTTCCGAGAGGAATGCGAGCGAGCAAAAAGATAGAAAGGTTTGAAGTTTTGGGGGAAGGTTCCCGAGAGGTGGTGGTGTGAAGTTCGACGGCCAGGATCGTCGCGGAGGGTTCGAGGAGGGGGGCGCGCACGTGTCACGCCACGTAGGACTTCGGGAGATTTCGCTGGGACACGTGGAGGGTCGACACGTGGGGGGACACGATTGGGGGGATATAGGTTTTGGCGGGAATATGCTGCGGGAACGAGGGAGGGATGTGGGGCCTTCGGGTTGGTGGGGGAGGGGGGGGGGGGGGGGTGGCAATTCTTCGAAGGTTACTGTTGTCTGGCGCGGAGCGGGACGCGTGGCGCGGAGCGATTGGAGGGACGCTGTGCCTTGTCTATCCTTGGCTCTTGTCCGATTCCGTCTCCGGTTCCCAGTTGTTCGAGAAGTACGTCAAGATCGCGTTTAGTCGTCGGGACATTTCTACCGGATAAAATAATGTCGGATAACATAAAGATAAAACATAATTTTAAATATCCCATTCAATATTTGTTAATGTCCGGATATGATATGAATCCAAATAAATATTATCCAGATAAACATTTGATTTGCAGAATTAAAATTTAAAAATAAATCATGGAAATAAAACAACCCCTCTTCCTCGTGATGCAGACGAGGAGGCCGTGAAGCAGAAGCCATTGTCGCTCAGCCCAACTTCCGTAGAGAAAACAATACTCCAAAAGTAGGCAGAAAAATTGTTGGGAAGTGAGGTGAACCGAAATTCTCTTTGCTGGAGATAGACAATCGTGTGGGATCTTCGATAAATAACTGAAGTCGAGAAAAAAACCCAGCTTTGCACTTTGCCGGAGATGTCAAGTTACTAGGTTGATCATTTAAGGACGAGATTGTCAAATCCGGGTCTTTGGGGTGTGTTAAACAGAGAGGAGAGAGCATGGGATGGGATTCAAAGAAATGGAGGGGACCCAACCGGACGGTTCCCACTTTGAGCGGTCCGTTTTGCACGCCTCTAATAAATCTATGCACCTAATAAAATCAGGAACTTGCAGATCGACTTATAGCATAGAGATTTCCTTAATTGCGATATCCGAGGTCAAGACCTTAATCGAAATGTGCATGATGAGATTGTAAATATACATATCACGACGATAAGGTGTATCTTCTTTTTTTTTTTTCCGTAATGTTTTTGGGGCTGCGAGGTGATCTCCGGCATAAATTTGCGCGCGGATTAAGCATGTTTTGTCGATCGCCGTTACCAACGAGTCGCGTTTAAATAAATACGGAACAAGCACGAAGAAGTACAAAACAATGAAGCTGAAGATGGCTCGCGCGAACCAATGGAGGAAAGCTCTGGATTTCAAGAGAGTGTCGTGGACGATGCGTGCTGGCGTGCCAAGAAGAGAACGTGCAAATCTTGAAGAGATTCCAGCAGCGAAGGCTATCGCGCTCTTTGCGGGCAAGAATGCAAATTAAGATTTTGATGAATCCCGTGCGCTTGCAAGATGCAAAATCCCCGAAAGCAGGCGCGACTGCCGCGGGGGTGGAAGCAACAACGACAGCAACGTAAGACAACCGAACGCAAGTTTGTCTGTCTGTTCGAACCGTAGAAGACAAGTACACGGTATCCACCTTGACGAATGAGAGAGAGATATAGAGACTCATCCGCACGCATTTGTCCGCATTGTTATTTGTCAATCACGGCCTCACGACTCTCGCTTGAGACCGTCAATCAAACCAGAAGAGAGAGGGAGAACGAGTGGGCGAGAGGGGGTGGTTCGGAAGTTCGTGGGCAGCTGAAGCTGTGATCCCACCATGGGATTTGTATCTTTGTGAATTTCACCGTGCACGTCTCCGTCTCACCTCTTTTCGTGGGTGATCCGAATTCACAGGTCCGGTCCAATTGGCTGCCCCTGAGATTTTGATCTTCCTTCGCAAAAGCCCTGTCGTTGTCGCTGAGAGCTAGAGAGAGAGAGAGAAGCTTCCAGGCTAGCTTTGCGCTTTCGGCTCACGGCCCAACCTGGCCGTCTTTTCACGAGCAACTTCGCATGCGAAAAGAGCTGTCCCAGGGCTAATCCCATGCGTCTCGGTGTACGGATCTCAAATCCATCTGGATCATCAAATTGATGGATCCTACAATTAACGTGATAGACCGCACGCGCGACGGCCGATGATCAGATTTGATGATCTAGAGGTATTGTCCATACAACAACGGTTTTCCCAATCAGGGTATGTTTGAAGCGCCGGATGTCACAAAATCCACGAAAATAAATGGTAGATTTCCTCGTATCATTTATAGAGTTGGATTAGGAAGCTAACATATCGAGCGTTTATGGGGTGTTTTAATATTGATCACCCGTATAAATACTCACTTATATCTCGAACATCATTTAAAAATTCAATTTTCGTATACTGGTTTTAAGTGTGCACAACATTGGTTGGCTTACGACGGAGATGAAAGTTTCTGGGATGAATAGATGGATAGCGAGATGTGGCTGAAAATATGCGGACGGAAAAACACTACCTTACCTTGGAGGAGCCGAAGACCATGCAGAGCATGACACGTGGCATAAGGAACCTGCTTTCCAGTTCCATGGCTTGAGAAACGAACCTCGGACATCTGCACCTCTGAAGCTTTCATGGGGTTTCAAAAAGCACTAAATTTACTTAAAAAAAAACCAATTTAACTCTAAATATTTCAATTTAATCGATTTAATCTTAAACATTTTGGATATAGATTTCGTCCAAGGAAGCATCATCTTGATGGGCGCTAACTTGCGGTGTTTGCCGTTGCAATTTCTGCCGATGTTAGGTTGTTGTGTCCTGTCATCATCAAATTCAACTTGATGCTAGGTAGAGTCAACACTTAATCACGAACTCATTGAATGAGTGCCACAACAATTGCATGATGAAGTTCGAATTGAGTTGGGAATATCAAAAGCGCCGTCGACGTCGTTCTCCATTCTGAAGGAAAAAGATGAAAATGACAACTAGTCGTAAAGAATAGGCAAAATAACACAAACAATCCCTGAACTTTGACTCAATGTGCAATTTGATCCCTGAACTTTTAATTTGTTCAATGCCATCCCTGAACTTTTGGTACATGTTCAATTTAGTCCCTGAACTATATGAAAATATTCAATGCAGTCATTTCTATTAATTCAATCTCAGGGATTATATTGAAGATTTTCATATAGTTGATAGACCGAATTGAATATGTACCAAAAGTTTAGGGATGACATTGAACAAAATAAAAGTTCAGAGACCACATTGAATATTAGGTTAAAGTTCAGGGACTATATTGAACAAATTAAAAATTTAGGGATCAAATTGCACATTAAATCAAAGTTCATGGACTGTTTGTGTCATTATCCCTAAAGAATAAGAGCTTTAAGATGTGATGCGTAGGTGTGAATTGAGCAATGGTGAAAAATGAGAGAGGGAAGGGGCCAATTTACAAAGAGATTTTTTTCTCAATAATTACTGGATCAGTGACTGTTACTGGGTGGATACGAGCTAAGGAATTGTTAAAAAAGTCCTAGAACTATTGCATTTTTGCCAATTGAGTCATAAACATTTTCTTATTTTGCTAATTGAGTCTATCTAGCCACTTTTGGCTGATAATAGCTGACGTGGACACCAGTTGTCCTATGTAGCACGATTGGCACGGACGTAAACAATTTTTTTGATACTATTTGTTGACACCTAAATTTCGATCGACCATTTAGTGATTAATTGCATAGAATATTGGGGATTAAATTTTAACCCCTAAACAAAAATATTAAAATTGCATAGCATATAGTTTAAGTTCATATAGGTTAGTTGCATTCCGTATCGGACCGGCGGTGACGAGTAAGCTGAAAATTCATCGCGTAAACCGAGCTCGAGCACTCGGCTCACCCAAGGGATTGGGGGCCAAAATTCACAAGTCTAAAAGGCTTTGGTTGTTTTAATTTGAGCTTAAATCAGCCTGAATTAATTTAGCCCATTTGAAATTAAATAAAAATTAAATGATAAAAGCCTAAGCCTAAGTCCATTAGGACTAGGAAGCCCGGCTAATTAACTTAGGTTGCGATATAAATATGTGATTATACCCCTCAATCAAGGGGGCTCTCATATTTTTCAGAACATAATTCTTGAGAGCACGAGAGACGTGAGCAAGAGTAAGAGAGAGAGTCGCTCGTGCACGTGCCCGCCCCACTGTCGCGCCGCCTCGCTGCCACCACCGCTGTTGTCCCGGTACCTGCTATTTCCACCGTGAGCCAAGAAGCCCCCTTGACGAGCTGCTTCAATATCGAGTCCGCTGCCCTGTTCGCCGCTGCCCTGCTAGCGTCCATCCACTATATCGACGAGCTCCAGTTCACGACGATTCTTCCAACGAGCTAACGCACAAAGTCCTCCATCCGCCGTTGGTGAGCAGTCAAGCGGTGGCCAAACGAGCAATAATCAAGTGGAGAAGTGCTTCAGTGGAGAAAGAAGCAAAAGAATTCATCTTTTCCTCTCCTTGTCAGGGACAACTTTTGTTTGCAGGTTCACAAGAGGACAAAACCGAGTGCAATTGGTGGAGAATGAGTTCGCTGCTGAAGGAGACAACATCATGCTCTCGAGATTCCGCATTCTCCACAAACAAATAACATAAAGGAAGAACAAACGTGTGAAGTCAAGCTTCATCCCTGTGCACTCGCCACAGCTTCTGCCGCACCACCGAGCGCACCACCGCGCCCACCGCCGGCCACCCCGTCACCATCCCACGGTGAGCCTCCATCGCCGTCGCCTCTCATCGTCGCCGCCGCATCCACCATCAATCGCCCGCCATCGGTCACCATCCCGATCCGTAAGCCTGAGTCCGATCCAAGTTTGAATCGGAAATATCCGTCAAATTAGGTACGATCGATATCCAATATTTTTTTCAGAATATTTTAATTCCTAGTTTAGGTGTTTTAAATATTCTGTGAATATTTGGTGGATTGCTAAATCTTAGGGATATTATTTGCTCTATCTGCAATATTCTAAAACACTCAAAATTAGGAATTATTCCTAATTTGGCAACGTATCTGGACGACTATCCGACCTTATCCATAAAGTACGATACGCGGCGATACGGAAAATCGTTATCTTATCCATGATCACTTGGATACGATAATAGATTTTATTCGCTTTCCAAATTCGAATAATCAGTTTTCCGTCGATATCTATAACCCTATAGATATGACTGTTAATTTGATTTTTTTTTCCTAATTCAAATTTGATAAGAATCTTGCGGATTGCATGGATTGTTTGAATGCGGTTGTTATCTTTGTTTGATTGTTTTTTTTAAATAAAGAAAATCCAAAAATATATTAGTTAGGATTTAAATTAAAAATTTTGCATGTTTAGGGAACCCTAAATGTATCTAGAAGATATGATAATTATTTAATTTAAATTAGGACTTAAGATAATTTATTTCCTAGTTTAAATTAGGTATTATTCTAATCCTAATAGATTATTTAGGTTATTTTTAGATTCCGAATTTCCCCAAAAAGAGTGAGTTACTTTAGGATAGATTAGGATACATTGCATTCTTAATTTGAGTAACTTTTAATTTCGAATTTTAATAAAAAAAAATATCAAAAAAGAAGTTGTTAGATTGCATGTTATTTTAGGCATTTTTTTAATTTCGAATTTCATTGGAAAAATACCAAAAATAAATCATTTGCCCGTTATTAAAATTAGGCCACGTCGTCGCATGACATATAGTTCGCATGTTAGGTTGCATTAATCGCATGTCATTTTTTGCACGTCATTGCATATAGGTTAGTTTGCATTTTAATAAAGCGCAAACCCTAAAGAACACCTCGAGTGCCTTGTTTTGTTAATTAGAAATCATAGTAGGAATGTCTGTATGATTTTTTACTAATAATGCAGATGCTTGCGTTGCATTAAGGTACGCCATTCTCCTAATCTTGCAATTTATTTATTGTTTTCTTGGATATTAAATTGGTGGTTTGCGCACTCGCATGAACACCTCACATGTTAGTGATTAGGTAATAAAATGGATTTAGACTGCCTGCATAAATATTTTTGAAAAGAAAAGGTACCGAAAGGGCGTTAGACTAGATCAGCGTAACCAAATCCCCGAGCTTAAAATATCTGGTTCGTAGGAATAAAACATATCTCCCTATGTTTTATTTAGGTTTCTAATCGACCTACCACAAATAGATTAGTGGCGACTCCAAGCATGAAAACTTTTACATGTTAAAAACTTAAACCTTAAGTTGCGAATTGGTAGGGCTTGGGAGGGCCCGAGTTAGGCTTAGTCTTAATAATCCATTAGCCTGAGAAATTTAGGTCGCGACAATATTTGAATATTTTATCGAATTTTTAATTTTTAATTTTATTTTCTTTTTTGCCTTGCTTTTTTTCTGTGCCGGCAAGGATTATCGGTGGGGTGGGAAATTATCTAAAAAGTCATAAACCTATTGTACTTTTACTAATTCAGTCATAAATCTTTTTACTTTACCAATTAAGTCGTAAACCTTTTCATTTCTTGCCAATTGAGTAAATTCGGTCAATTTTGGCTGGAAATTGCTGACGTTGATATTTTTAAATAATTTTTTAATAATTTATGATTTTTTTTGCTTTTCTCTGTTTTTTTTTTGTTGGGGTTTTGAAGTTAGGATGGCGAGGGTGGCTAGCCGACCCTCGCTGGTCACGGACGAGGGCCGGTGACCCTCGCGCAAATCCAGCAAGGGCGTTGGCCCGGCGGGGCCGCTAAGTGCCTCGGCTGGGGTCGTGACGCCCTTGTTTAGAGTCGGCGAGGGTCACCGGCCCTTGCTTGTGGCCGGCGACGGCGTCACGACCCCAGCCGAGGCACTTAGCGACCTTGCCGGATCTAGGCGAGGGTCAGCCGGCCACCTTCGCCGGCCCTAACTTCAAAACCCAGAAAAAAACAGGGAAAAGGAAATAAAAAAAAGAAAAAAACCATAAAAAAATTCAAAAATTATTAAAAAATGTCTACGTCAGCGATTTCCGATCAAAATTAGCCAGATGGACTCAATTGGCAAGAAATAAAAAGGTTTATAACTCAATTGGCAAAGTTGAAAGGTTTACGACTGAATTGACAAAAGCACGATAGGTTTATGACTTTTTGGACAATTTTCCCCCGATGGGGTTACTGGAGATCTTGGGCTCTGTGACAACCCCGGAGGACTTTGCTGTTGTTCCGTATACATTCAATAGGCGTTGAATTCTTCAATTCTGATTCGATGTCTTTCTAGTGAGATTTTGGAGCAAATCGGGGAAGAAGATGACTATGGAAGAAGCGATGGCTTAGTGGACATGCAAAGAGTTTGCCTACAAGAGTCAAAATGTTCAACCATCGCCTCGATGGCCCTGGGCAAAGGCTTCGCGGCCGGGGCCACGACCTCGTCAGGGGCCACGACGGTCTTACCCAAGGCTTTCACGACTAGTCATAGGATGACCTATGTTCACATTACCGATTTCTAGTTAAAAATGGGCGGATAGACTCAATTGGCAAAATATAAAAAGACTTAAGACTCATTTGGTAAAATCGAAAAGTTGATAACCGAATTGGCAAAAATGCAATAAGTCTAGGACCTTTGGACAATTTCCCAAACGAGCTGCTATGGCGAATACTTGGAGCCAAAGAAAATTGAGCTGAGGTCTGGCCCATGGCCAATGGAGGCCGAATCCAAAAATGGGCTTGGGCCGGCCCATTTCGGACAATGGGCCTGACCTGGCCCATGTCACAAGCAGCCCACGGCCCAGCCGCGGGCCCGGCATCCAACGGGCCTCGCTCGCCAGGTCGCGAAACAGGCAGAGTTTTACTCATTTCATCACGTTGACCTGCCGGAAGGAGAACCGTGGCACGACCAGGTGAGGCCACGTGGATTCTCTCTCTCTCTCTCTCTTTCCTCTTCTTCTTCCCGGTGAGCGTCGTCTCTGCTTTCCTTAACGGGGAAGGAGACGATGGCACAGGCGTAACTTCGCAAAACAAACCGCAGTGCTCGCTTTTGGCTTCGGGTTGCCTTGCCCCACGCCGACCCCCCATCTTCTTGCCTCATCGCCACATTTCCCAAAAACGGAATCCAATTCCCTCGTCCCAAAAAGAGAAGGAGAAAAAGAGCCAAAACCAAAAGCAGAGGCAGAGGCAGAGGGAAAAGAAGAGGCAAAGATGGGTCTCCTTTCTAACAGGTGGAGTCCATTCTCTCTTTGTTTGGTCCTCTCGAGCTTCGTGTTCCTCGATCTCACCTGGGTCGAACGTGATTTGATTTATATCGCTTTCTGGTTCAAGATGTTTTACCCTCCTTGTTGGTTGCGTACAGAGTAAGCAAGGAGAGCCTGAAACCAGGGGATCATATCTACTCTTGGAGGACTGCTTACGTTTATGCCCATCACGGTTTGCTCTCCTCTCTTGCCTTCCCTTTTTCATCGTGCTGTTTGTGGTGTCTGTGTTCAGAAGGGACTTCGTTAGTTCTTTTGCCGAATGCTGAATATGTAGCGATTGTCGATGTTTTTGTTTAAATGTGAGAAACGTGTACTTCTAGGACGTGTAAAGAAAACGACCATGTGGTTGCAGTCTCGTGATCTCATGAAATTCCGCAATCTCAAGCTGAGGAACTGATTTCCCATGACTTGTTAGGCTTTGCAATTTAGGTGGATTAGAATTAGTTAAGCCGGGGCGGCACTTTCGCACTAATGCAAATACCGCATCAGTATTTACCTTTCGATCATGGTGAAGGCGTCATATGAAGCATGCGGACCATGCAATGTTTTTTTAAACAACATGGAAAGGTTATGCTAAAATGCGATTGGCTTGATATATGAATTATCAAGTCGAACTCCGTTGAAATGCGATTGACTTGATACACCACAGCAACAAGTGTAACCTTAAGATTCTTGCTCCTCATTCGTTAGCATACCAATGACTGCTCGCAGACATTCTTGGCAAGGGACTTTTCACAGTCGAACTGGATCTGTTTGTACGTCGTATACTCGACTAACCTCGTGATGTACACCGTGCAGTGTAAATTCTCTGTCCTAATTAGGAGATTCCTTTCCCTTTGTATTTTTCTTGCGTACAGATTGGCTGAATGTGGTACGGATTGTTCCGTATGTCTTATTCAGTCAAGGCATGCCAAGGTTTCGCCACATTTAGCCATCTCTCTTCTTGTCTTGATGATTCGCTGTTCTGATACTGGTGTCATAAGTCCTAACTATTCATGACAGCTAAATCCACCGTTTTCCTAATTTTCTACTCGATGAATCAGGCGTTTACATTGGCGATCACAAAGTCGTGCACTTTACAAGACGGGGACAAGAAGTAGGAACTGGAACTGTCCTCGACCTTCTCTTAGTAAGCTCTGGACCAGCCCGGTCTCAAGTGCCTTGCCCAACCTGCACTCCTCCCGAAGATGATCACGGGGTGGTCGCCTCATGCCTCGACTGCTTCCTCTCAGGGGGTGTCCTGTACCGGTTCGAGTACTCCGTGAGCCCCGCACACTTCCTCGCCAAGGCACGTGGTGGCACCTGCACCCTCGCTGTCGCTGATCCGGACGAGATCGTGATTCACAGGGCAAAGTACCTGCTTGACAACGGCTTCGGCTGCTACAACGTGTTCAAGAACAACTGCGAGGATTTCGCCATCTACTGCAAGACTGGCCTCCTGGTTCTGGACCAGAGAGGCATCGGGCAAGGAGGGCAGGCGGTCTCGATCGTTGGCGGGCCACTCGCAGCGGTCCTGTCCACGCCATTGCGTCTGGTTACCACAAACGTGTACGGGATGGCGGCAACAGCAGTTGGGGTGTATTGTGCGAGTCGATATGCGGCTGATATTGGGAGCGGCATGAGGAGAGACGTGGTGAAAGTTTCAGTGGAGGATCTGACTCGGCGACTGGCAACTGGGATGCTTCAGGTGATGGAACCTCTCAGCTCGCCGACCATTGTGAGCTGATCTTTGGATAAAGCCCGGCTCATCTAAAGCGTGCTCTCAAACTGCGTGTTCATTTGGTACTGAAATGTTGTGACCAAGCTTCAAGACAGGGTTTGGATTGAAGCATTTACTTCTTCTCGTGTGATGTGTGCGCACTTAACATGATTAATTCTTGATGCCTGTCATTGAAGACATGCTTGTTTTATCTATCAAAAACTCTGTACTGATGGTAATCACTGTTCATTAAAAGCTTAAGCTTTCAGTTGACGGGCCAGCAAACTTTCCTGTTATTTCTTGTTAACAATTTCCTATATCGAGGAAGAAAGACAAATAACAGGAGAACACAGCCAGAGTTTCTCCCTTTGCGAGCGACTTTCTTTACTCCGAGGAGTGAAGTCACACTTCAGAATGTTATTAGGTATTTGCTGTCACAATGTCGAACTCGACTTCGCAGGTACAACAGCTGGATTTACCCAATCAGAGATACCATGACAATGCCGGAGTATCACTGGCATTCATCGTGGAACTTCGGGACTCCGAGGGTTAGGATTGTACTTGTGAAGCGCAAGATTGGCATGATCAGCACTTGGACTTTCTACTTGATCAAGAATAGGAAGCTACTTTTCTCATCAAGGTATTAATCTGGAAGCTGCTAACAAACCATCTTTGGCAAGGCTCATTCACACCTCAACTTGCACGTGTTTAAGGTTTCGCTATCCACTCCAGAAAGGATTGCACTAATGACGTGGTACCCGGAAAACTTGCTACTGCATATAAGTTAATCACTGAAAATCTAAGGTATACCGGCACAGTACGCATTACAGAGGCTGGACGGCAACTTTTACATGCTTAGACAAGTAGAACCGCGTTTACGAATCCATCATTCTCTGGATCATTGGTCACTTGGGCATTTTTTCCTGTCACCAACCAACAATTACAGAATGTAAATAACGAATGTGAAGAGACAAGGCGGTTTCTATTTTGCCGAAAGAGGATCTCAAGATCTTACCCCGCACAACCTTTCCGGCCGGGGTGACAAGACCTGATTTGCTTACATAACCTGTTATATTTAGAGAGAGATGAGTACGTAAAGGAGGCAGTATCCATAGAAAAATTCTGGTGGTTACTTCATTTGAAGCAATGTCTATCAAAGTCTTTACCTCAATGACGGCTCCCTTGGTCAGGACACCCAGTGAGGTGTACATCTGACCGTTTGGATTTTTCTTCACTCCAGTGATCTCGAGATTGAAGGTGCACTTGAGCTCCGGATGCATAACGTGAGCTTTGTTGAACTGGAGTCCTGACGGCCGAATGAACCGCTCGTACTTAGGGGGTTTCCTCGTGAAACCTGGTCCGACGAATGTTGCCTTCGTGACCATTCTCTTCCATTGTTTTGCTGAAAAAAAAAGGGGAAACACAGGAAGGTTCAGTAGCCTTTCAAAATGCAGAGCAAACTGTGATCCACCCATGATTCATTTTTGTGCATCAGATGGCCCAGGGTAACACGCGGACGGTGCAACTACATTCAGTTGCTTCAGCAAGTACACCGAGGACAAGCTCCCTCGAGCAAGACTCTCAGATATCACAGCAAGCAAGCTTGAGTTCATCTTCTCCGAATTCCGACTTCACCACCACATCTCGATCTAAAAATCATATTCATTTGAACCCGGAAAAAAAGGATAGTGATAACTCAGACTAATTTGTAAACTAAGCATGATGTTCCCAAAGTAATTAAACTCCGGCCACCCCGGAGACATCACATACTCGAGAATAATGCAGCAAGAGCAATAAGAACAATGCGAATAAACAACAACACGAAACCGATGATAACCTATCTCGACGTACTTTTCCTTTTGCCAGATTTGACCACTTTGAACATTTCATCTTCAGCAGCAGGCCTTACCTGAGGAGGATTACAAATGGATAGTCAAAAAGATTTTGAATCACAAAGTCGTCACAAAACGAAATCCGGCAACTGGCGATTCGCCAAGTGCAATGACAATTGATTTCACCAGATGATGAGAGATAAGCTTCCCTTCGGTAAAGGCACTTCCCACTTTCCAGCTTTCTCCTTCCTCTTTCGCTTAATTGAGTTGCTAAGCACCTGGATGTGCCACGATGTCAGATTTGGAAACACGCAATGATATTTGAAAAATCGCATCCATCAATATTCACTTCAGCATACTTTAGCTCGGGTGGTTGTTTCGCGGGCCAGCAGATAAGCTGGAACAGCTCCTTCACTAACATCATTATCCACCTTGCGCCGAGATGATGACTCCGCATGCATATTCAACCTGTTCCAACACATGAAGCAATCTTTTTACTACTACGGCGGATGAAGATATATCTCTTACTTCTCACAAAATTAACTTGCGCTTAGCAAGATAATTTAGTACTTCTAGGATAGGCAATCAGAGTGCCGCGACCTCATAAACTCAACGCATCTCAAATAGAAGATCAAGATCACGACGACTTAATTACTGGGTGAAGAAAAAAAATCTGACACCAAATCCTATGCTTCCTTTGCTTCAGCTCACTAAACGGCTGCATCTAGCTAGAATAACTTAAAAAAAACGACAGCTTGTTTCGCTATATTTTCATGTAAGAAGCAACCGTTATGTGATTTTAACTGCAACCAGATCACAATATTATGAAATTTGATAACAACAATGAAGAAGTGCCTTCTGATTAAAATCAAGAAACGAGCTACCGCCGACCACAAATATGAAAAAAATCCTCGCGTTTTCTTCATCAGAGCCTTCTCTGCATATCGTTTCTTGGCGAACATCTTACCCTTAATGCCCAAAGTCTGCGAAACATCCGCCAAAGAATAAGAATTTGAGCTCACTGTGAAACCCCTAAACAAAAAAAAATAAGACCACAAAGCTGTTCACGTTAACAGGAAAGGGAACCGACTTTCTGGGCTTTTTCGGATCTCTCGTGGACTTCGCGAGCTTCCCTCTTGCGTTTCCGCTCGAAGTGATCATGGCGATACCCATGTCTCTTCCGTGGCGCTCTATGTAATCTCCTTGCGGCTGAAACAGAGAAAGAAACGTCAAAACCAAAGCGACGAAATCAATCGGTAAGCATTGAACTAAAAGCCACGCTCTTTTTTCCAAGTGAAGCGATTGCGCAAAACTTCGACTAAGAGAGATATTGCGCGCGCACCATGGCGAGTTACAAATTCAAACGTGCTCTCACAATGCGTTTGAATCGAAGAAACCTCTGATCTTTTGGAGGGGGTCGATGCAGTGAAAGGGTGCACTCTGGTTTTTCATGTATAGGTCGGTTGTGAGGGAGGCATCTCTACTGAGTCGGTGCGGTGGAGTGAAAGCAACTGTTTCACCTTGAACACTCCCCACTTCTCCCTGTTTTCTGTTCATTCAGACATCTTGCATGGGCCGAGGTCCGACAGAAGATAGGCCAGTCCACACAATCTGTGAAAGCCCTCGAGTCAAAATCCAGCATCTCCTACGAGAATCGACTGATCATTGAGCGGCCATGCTACTCAGGCCCTGACTTGTGCATAATCCAAACTCAGTTCAATTATTTGCGAGTTCGAGTCGAGCTCGAGCTTGAAATTACTTCGAATCCTGCAGCTCGCTAGTCTAGTCGAGCGGAATTTCTCTTCATTTGTTTTAGTTAGGGGAAATTATGGGAATGGTCCGTGTATTGATGCCGATATTCGGTTTTGGTCCTTGTACTTTACATCGCGACTGATTCTGTGCCCAATCTTCGTTCACAATTTCAAGACAAAATCTACATTTCCTGTTAATGTCACCCTTGATGGGGAGCTCAATTCGAGTATCTGCTATCTATCAAGCATTATATATTAGAGTGTAGCGGAACCTTGTTTTTTTTTGGACGAAAATGCTTTCTTCGTTCAATGACCAACACTATTAGAACATAAAATATCCCATAAGAGTAGGGGGTTTAAACAACTAATTAGAGGGGAGGGCCTTTTTACCATGGGCTTTGACAATCTAGTCTGCAAGTTTATTAGCTTCTCGAAAAAATCTTGATTTGTTACTGATTCACATTTCACCACTGATAAGTTATCAGATTCTATTACCATGCTCGGATCGGAAGTACTCTTCAGTTCGAAGTATAAAGAAGGCGAAAGAAAGAGCATTCAAATTCTAGCGATTGTAGTTTAAATCTTGAGGTAGTTTTCAATCCCATCCAAATCTTTCTTTTTTTATTTTGAGAAAAAAGGTTCATTCGTCGTATGAATGGATTGACATTTGTGGACATAGATTGGACCCTTGAAAAACTTTGGCCATAAGTAGCCAATGGCCATACCATATTAGACCAGCTCAGGCACAAACCCAAAATATTGGGATTTTCCCTTAAAAATGAATTGAAACTTTCCTGGTCTGCCACCACTGCCCTAATTGAACACAGAAATTGTCCCAACTGAGAACTTTTCCTTTCACATGGTGGTTCTCATTTCATCACACGTCTTGAAGCTTCTAAACCCAGAACGGTTCAGTGCTCCAACTTGTTTTTCCATAGTTCCTCTAATTGAAATAGTCAACACTTCATGCCCATCACTTAAAACAAACTAGGTGATCAAATCAGTAATTGTTGACAAGTTGAAAGCACCGAGATGGAGACGTCCCCATGTGCGTGAATGGTTCGATGACAAGGACCCCAGAGCCATGGCAAAGCTTTGACAGTCCATTGGAGAGAAGGAAAAGCAGAAAAGAAGCCCACGCAAAGAGAATGGGACTTTCTTCATCTTTGTTCCCTTCAGGGATCGAATGGCACATAGACATGGACAGGTGCCATGAAGTGTAGGGTTTTTCTCTCACTTGTGTGTTCATCGATTCTCAATCATCCGAATCTTCCAAAGAACGAAACCGGAAGCCCGAAAAAGCAATAATCGCAAAAGGACAAAGCTTTATCTTGATAGGATGGATGAGAGGGTCGTACGTCTTTCAGAGAAGAGGTGAAGAGCAATGCGCAAGGCCTGCATGGTTCGTGGGGGGAATGTATTATATGCTGTATATTGCAGGTACAGCTGTAAGTTCACATGATGAAGAAGGTTGGGTCCTCGCACGTGAAGCTAGCTACACCCTGTTCAATTGCAGTTCAATTGTTGTTGTTGTTGTTCCTGTGAGTGGCTAAACGTGTTTAGGCTTCAATGAAGGTTCACCGGTTATGTAGCTCCTTCGTGGTCCTGCCATACATAGGAGTTAGGACACTGCCTCTCCTAAAGTCGCAGTCAATTGAGTAATAGGAACCAAGTATAACTTTTCCATGTCATTCGTCAGCATTGAATGACATAGAAAAATCTCTCAAAACCATCCTTTCTCCTTCTACTAAACCAACCGAACCAGGTAAGTTTGAACCCCTCCTTAAAATCCCTTTATCTCCCTCCAAATCTCTCCAACAACATATAGTGTGCTAGGGTTCGTTGTTGTTGTGTGTGAATTCTCGGAAGGCATGGGATCTTTTAGCCTATTTAAAGTAAATAGATGTGGTCCAATTACCCCCTGATTCAAGAGGATTCCCATCCAAAATCAAGTCCAATTCCAAAATCAACAGTGTAAAGTTGCTCCATTAGATTTTCCAAGCTAGGGTAAAGCTGCTGAATATTGATGGAAAACAAGTTAGGAATGAACCAAGCTGATGCGCAACATACATAGAAGTGGAACCACAGAAGGTGAAATGGGGAAATGAAGATTCATCCCAGAGACTCCTGGCTTACATGCCATCTGGGAAGTAATGCTTGGTTGATCGAGTTTCCCTTGATACTTATGTCCGATAGAAAGAGTGTGGTGCAAACTTAGCATGGTTGTCATTTTCCCAGCTTATATAGAACGTCGACATCCATTTTCCTCCTTTTCCATCTTCATGTGGGCAACAGAGAAAAGTTTACTTGTCGGATTATTGTTAGATTCGCCGCCAGTGTAAAGAAGTGTGCCGGCATTCATTCTTGGACAAGTGACGTGTGTGCCGAGAGTTTTCGTAGCCGAATTCTTCCGCGTGCGAATCATCCAACGGTAAATGCGTGAGTAATTCTTAACTCCAACGGTGAACCTAATAAAGATCCTATCATTTATGGGTTTTGCACCTCACCTAGGGTTTCTTCACCTACAACCAGTTCTCGAGTTCTCCGCAATCCGGCACAAACGGCTGGTTATCAACTGAAGGGATGAACCTAGGGTTCTTCTACTAACCGACCAAAAAGATGTGAGATTGTAATCTTGTGACTAGGCATCCCCACCCTAAAACACATCCTACCAAATTCTCCATCCACCACAAAAATCAATCCATAGAATTTAATAATGAAAGAGCTACATCTTTACAAATTCAACAGAAAACGATAAAAATCAAGAGCCTCACCATTGGGAAAATGCCATTATTCTAAGATAAAAAAAGAATTATGGAAGTGAAATGAACCTCCCTTTGGACCGAAGCTCACTCTTTCTCTCACTCGCTGACAAAAAGCTTGGCCTTCAGATCTGTGGCCCCAATTCGGTCCAATGCTTTTCGGTTCAATCAAATACCCCCCCTTTGCACCGCCAAACATTAATATAATTTCAATGATTTTTATTAAATCGGGACGAATGATTATATATAGTTTGAAAAAAAAGATAGGGAGGATAGATTCAGTGGTCCTACCAATATCGGTGTGATGGTTGGACACTAATGATTGGCCCAGGCGGTCCAGATTAGCCGTTACTACAGTATAAACTACCAAGAGTTATCCATAGAGTTAATTTGGTTTTGTATTTCACCTTGTTCTATCTGTTTTCAGGGGTCCGATCGGTACTAAATTTGATGTACGGATGCCGATTTAGTCCTAAAATCTTTGCACAAAATTTCGATATAGTCCTTTCGATCAATTTTCGCCAGAGATCGCTAACGTGGCGGCGGCGACCGTCTTATGTGACACGTCGCCACGTCAGCGATTGCCGATAAAAATTGACTGGAAGGACTATATCGAAATTTTTCGCAAAGGTTTGGCACATGATATTTACTAAAAAAAGTCATAAACTTATTGTACGGTTGCCAATTCAATTTTAAATCTTTCAATTTGACTAGTTTAGTTTTAAACCTTTGGGATATGTGCACTAGAAGTCCTAAAACTTGCCACAAAAGTGCAATTGAGTTCTAAAACTTGCAAAAAGTGCAATCGAGTCCGAAAATATGTCAAATTGATTCAATCGAGTCCTAAAGTTAACACCGTCTAATTTATTAACAGAAAATGCTGAAGTGGCGCTGACGTGTCTTATTTTATTAACTTTCTTGAGATACGTGGCGTCCAACAAGCGCCATGTTAGAAAAGTTAAAAAAAAAACAACAGCTGGATGTGCGTCCTTTTTTCCTTTTCTTTATAGCTTTTTCTAATTTAATTTATATTTTTTTCATCTTTTTTCTGACGCAGCCCTTGTTGGACGCCACATGTCTCAAGAAAATTAATAAAATAAGACATGTCAGCGTCATGTCGGCATTTTCTTTTAGTAAATTAAACGGTGTTAACTTTAGAATTCGATTGAACCAATTTAACAAGTTTTATGACTCGATTGCACATTTTGTAAATTTGAGGATTCAATTGCACTTTTATGATAAGTTTTAGGACTTTTAGTGCACATATCCCTAAGCCTTTTGATGATTTGCCAATATAGTATTTCCGGCCTATTAGCATCCGTTTAATTTAATTTTAAACCTTTTAACGATTTATGATCCGACGAGTAAGCTACAAGTTTCTTTCTTCATTGGGGTTCAAGAGGGTTTGCTTACCAAAATTTTCAATTAAACGCACCAACTTTTTCAATTAAACAAAAAGGGCAGACAAATTATGTTCTTCCACACT